AAAAAAAAAAAAAACTGGATAAACCTCTAACCCTGGCTGAGCTACACGTAGCCTTGACCCAGATGGGAAATGACAAAGCTCCGGGCATAAATGACCTCTCGAAAGAATTTGGAGCTGCTTCTGGCGGACTCTAGGAGAGGACCTGCTCGAGTTCTTCAACGACAGCAGGCTAGAGGGAGGCCTAGGCAAGGAACTACGGACCAGCGTGGTATCTCCGCTGCACAAAAGGGAGACACAAAAGACCTGAAAAACTATAAACCCATATCACTACTCACCACTCCCTACAAAATCTTCGCTAAGGCCCTTGCAAACAGAATCACAAAGCTAACAAACAAATGCTTTCATATCGACCAAGCAGGCTTTATCCCTGGTCGGTACATACTAGATAACGTGATGACATCAAATGAGGCAGCAAAAAAGATCACGAAAAAACGAATGAAGACAACAATCCTGTTTTGTGACTTCGAAAAGGCCTACGATCAGGTCAATTGGGACTTCCTCCATGCCTGCATGGAGAAAATGGTGGTAGGCCCCAAGTTCAGAGAATGGGTTAGAGTGTTCAGACGCAACGGACAGAGTTGAGGTCAATAGGATTCTTTCAAAGACCTACCCGATCTCGAGATCGGTTAGACAAGGCGACCCATTGGCCCCGCCCATCTTCCTCTTCATTATGGAAGCCATAGGCTCCTTCCTTCGGAGATATCCTTCCATTGACTGCCTTACTATACGTAACTTCAATCCATTACATGACTTCGCCCTACCCGCTGCGCTAATGTTCGCCGACGACCTCACTGTCCTCATGCGTGCCAGCAACTGCTCATTCCAAGCCCTCGTAAGAGCAATGAAAGCTTTCAGACTAGCATCGGAAATGAAGGTTCATTGGTGCAAAACCGAAGGATGGTGGCTAGCAGATGGGACCCCACCCCAATCAGTCGATACAACCACACCCGTGTCATGGTCTACAAGAGATCAGGCACTAAGATTCCTTGGTATCATGGTAAACAAGAACGGAGTGTGGCCAGGCATGGGCCAAAACCTAGTCACCAGGGCAATCACTCACATGACCCTGTGCAAAAATGCCCAGGCCTTGTTAATCGGAAGAGCACTACTAATTAACACGACAATCTTCTCCACACTGTGGTACATGGCATCCATCTGGTTCCCCCCTGACGATGACCTCAAAACGGGCCTGGAACCACATCATCAGGAAACCGCTGGAAGGGGGGCTGGGGCTGATTGATCCCAAACAGGAATCCATAGCTCTACAGATGAAATGGATTATCAAGATCCTAATAAGACAATTCATTCCAAGGACCCAAAAGGCTTTGGACAACATCAAAAATCTAGCACCTATAAACTCCCCTCCAAACATGAGAGGTCTCTTCTGGATAATGGCGAAGGACTGTACAATCAAATCAGGCAGACAGAGCAGAAGAAGCCCAACATATTGTATTACAAGCCCTAGTCCAATAGCAAATCCATACTAGAAGCCAACCCTCAGAGCCTGGCGAAGAATGATGCCGAGCAAACACGGTGCACCAGGACACAGAGAAGAGGTCTTGAGACAACCTCTGTTCTGCAATTCCTGGATCGTAGACCCAAGTGGCTAACCCTGGACACTATGCACAAAAGATAGGAGATGGCTATCCTGGGTGGAAAAAAGGGGTGTGGAAGGGGAAACACATTTGGGCAGAAGATCGAAGACAATGATTAACCAAACAGGAGCTCCGAAATGAATTAAAAGGCTGCCACGCCCTCACAGAAAATCTAACACAGATTCAGAAGAGCATCCCAACACAGTGGCTTTCCCTCTTAAGGAAGGACTTCTCGTGGAAATCTGGGGACTGGGGCATACTCATTTCCCGAACCCAGCCTCACAGATTTCTGGAACCAATGCACCCAGCTACCTCTCCAAATTATTCTCCTACCCGATCACTAATCACAACCTGCAAGAGCTGGAAGTTATGAACAAAGAACCCCAATGTGACATGCTAGAATCCTTCAGGCTGAGGAAAGTGAAGGTCACAAAATCCAAACCCTGGATTATCTTCCAACCTGATCTCTGCATCTCAGACCTTGAATTTGACCCAAAAGAGTGGATCTGGAAACAGGGGAAATCCGGGAGAACGAGAACCATATTCGAATACAATGTAAAATCTGGTTATGACTCAGGATTACAAACTACAGACCCGGACAGACCCGGATCCCAGACTGAAAGAAAAATGGAGGGAGATCCTGAACCTAGAACCTACTGACCCCGTTTCCATCCTCTGGACGAAGTACCTGTCCATCAGACCGGTTAGGATCCGAAGCATGCAGTGGCTCGTAGCCCACGCATCCCTGCCCGTCAACCAATGGCTCCACAAGAGGAGGAAACATACGGATCCCGACAGCTCCGAATTATGTGTTATGTGCACAGACAACGGACCAGAAGACATACCCCACTGCCTCTTGTACTGCACTGAAGCAGCCTGGATATGGAACAAAGTTCGCGACCTATGGTCCCTCCTCTTCTCATCACCCCCTCCCCCCACATCTCCTCAAAACATCCTCCTCCTATCGAACAGTACTAACAATCTCGAAGGCGGCAAGGAAATCTGGTTTCACCTTCTCAGGAAGCTGGCTCTGTGGGTGCTCTGGAAAAGGAGGTGTACCAAGACTATGGAGAGAACTGAGGTGGCAAGGGAAGAAATGTGGGCCCTACTGTTGAGTATGACGGAAACTGCGATTCGTTGCAGATGGAGGGAGGTTACATCAACAACGGAAGTCAGACCAGAAAGGCTAGCCACCACGAGACGTTTTTTCATGAGAGACTGGCTCCTACAGGGAAAGATCGCAACAGTGGCAGATAATAGATTGATCTGGCAAAAATGGCACAGCGAAACTCCAGCAAGGACGACGACCCAGCGATGGGCAAACTGAGACCATAGTCTCAACAATACAGACAACTCTCCTCTTTTCTTGATGCACACAAACTATATGACAGAATCAAAATGGATTCTGACAGGAAAAGCAGTTCTAGCTTCTCAAGAGTGGTATCTCACTGATGCCTCCAGTCTTTCCGGAAAAAGACCTTCTAAGCCTTCCACCTAAGCTGCGCAGGAAAAGCCCAAACCCAATCCCAGGGAACAGTAAGGCTTCATAGGGTCTTTCTGTCCAGGTGCAGGTAGTCCGCATCTTCACAGACATGTCTATTTCACCGAGTCTCTCTCCGAGACAGCGCCCAGATCGTTACACCTTTTCGTGCGGGTCGGAACTTACCCGACRAGGAATTTCGCTACCTTAGTAGGGCAAGCTGACAGTCAATCCTCCTACATAGGAGCAATCAATGCTGGTCAGGGGTCCTTCGGCCCGACGGAAGGAAGCGTGAGTGTTCACCATGTATTCCAATTCTCGACTTGCCGGTGGACAGGAACCGGACTGATGCTCCCCAGAATGGATATGGAGCCAGGACCATAAGGACCTGTTTATATTATTAAAGAAAAACAAAGCAAAAAAAAAAAAAAAAAAACAAGAAGGCGAATAGTTCCAAAAGACAATGTGAAAGGGATTTCACGCTGAAGACATCCCGGGTCCCGGTTCCAGGGTCCCGAATGGTCCCAGTCCCAGATGGTCCCGGTCCCATCCAGGACCGGGTAGGTCCTGGCCAAAAAACCAAATTTGCAGCGGCGGTCGGAGGCAGACCAAGGCCAAGTCAAGGTACTATTTTTAAAAAAAATTGGAGCATTTCTCGATTTATGCGTGTCATCCTTGCGCAGGGGCCATGCTAATCTTCCTTCTCTGTATCGTTCCAATTTTAACGGATGTCCCGAAGGACAAGTCAAGGTACTATTAATAGCTGTTACAGTGCAGTTGGCACACACACTGTTCGTCTTGTACAATATTCATGAATACTCTAGGAGAGTAGTTTTTGTTTGTACCATGATTGGAGTCGTGAAGCCAGGTGTCAGTCGATCCAGGCCAGTAGTCAAACCCAAGAAGAGTCCGCAAGCTTCCAGAAGCAAGGAACAAAGGCAAGGGGACCAACCCATAACAAACAGAAGATGCCTGGAAAGCGGATCAGCAAGTATAAAACCCAGCAGCATCAACAAGCAGGATCGACTGCTCATTGGTGAGAATGCGGAAGTTCTGCTTACTGCTTGTGCGGCATTGTGACTTGGGCGTAGCGCCAGAGACCTGCTGGGCGGCGCTGTATACGAGGGTTACAGGAGGTTCAAGGCGGCCATAGCTGCAGGGGTTTGAAGGAGAAGCAAGGCGGATGCATCCGTTGCTACTATCTTAGGTCCAGTAGAGAGTGAGCCAGAGCGATAGAAGTGTGTGTGTGTGTGTGTGTGTGTGTGTGTGTGTGTGTGTGTGTGTGTGTGTGAGAGAGAGAGAGAGAGAGAGAGAGAGAGAGAGAGAGAGAG